TCACCTTCAAGTTCTCAAACACATCTTTCCCTTCAAATTTACTCCTACGTCTCTCACATGTTCAAATTGTTTGTCAAATAAAAGTCATCAAATTTCATTTTTTAAGTCAACTTTGTCTAGTACTAGGCCTCTTGAAATAATTTTCTCTGATGTTTGGGGTACCACCTCCATTGAATCAATAAATGGAAATTTTTATTATGTCTTTTTTATTGATTATTTTTCTAAATATGTGTGGCTATATCCCATTAAGTTAAAATCAGATGTATCAGTCATCTTCCTTATTTTTAAGTCCTTAGACAAAAAGAAATTTGATTGCAAGATTAAAACCTTATATAGTGACAATGGTGGTGAATTTACCAAACTAAGATCTTTTCGATAAAAACATGGCATTTCACACTTAACCACCCCTCCATACACTCCCCAACATAATGGTATATCTAAATATAAAAATTGCCACCTGGTTGAAATTGTTCGTACCCTTCTTCATCACGCATCACTACCACTCACATTTTTGGTCATATGCATTACAAATTGTAGCCTATTTAATAAATTGTATGCCCACTCCTGTCCTCAAAAAGGAAACACCCTTTGAAACTTTATTTTGAGCACCCCCAAACTACTCAAAGTTGTGAGTCTTCGGATTCTTATGTTTTCCATGGCTTGCACCATACACAACAAATAAAATTCAACCAAAATCTGAACCGTGTCTTCATTGGATACAGCAAAACACAAAGTGCCTATCTCTATTTTCATCCACCCTCATAAAAGGTCTACACCTCCTGTCATGTTCATTTTGTCAAAACAAATTTTCCCTTAGCCACCAAATTGACTTACTTCTCTCCTACCACCTATGTACAACAACCTTCCCCACTTATATCTAGCCCAAATACTATCACCACACAAATATTGTCACAACCCACTGTCCAACCCAACACTCCAATTTTAGATCATACCACTCCACTACCAAAAGTCCCTAATTCCTCTATTATCTAGTCAAGTTCACCAAATAATGTTATCCCACCAACCTTATCAAGTCCACTTTTCTGGATGTCCAACCCCTTCTAACTTCACCACCCTTGAGTCAACGGATTACAAGTTTCCCACTTCTTCTGATAATCATTTTCTTGCAGATGAATTGCATCCCCTTCCAATCCATCCCACAATTACACGTTCTAAAAATGGGATTTTTAAACCCAAACAAATTAATATAGCCACCAAATATCCAATGTCATAACGTATTAAACCTTCTTGCCTCACTCAGGCTCTTAAAGTCCCTGAATGGAAAGTTGCCATGTCTAACGAATTTAGTGCATTAATGACGAATGGCACATAGACTCTAGTGCCCAATTAAGCAACAACACTTTAACATCATTGGTAATAAATGGATATATCATCTCAAGCGCAACACAAATGGTTCCATTGCTCGTTACAAAGTCCGTTTAGTGGCTAAAGGATTTCATCAGTCACCTAGTGTTGACTACACTAATACATTCAACCCTATCATCAAGCCCCAAACAATCATGTTGGTCTTATGTGTGGCTCTTTCAAAACACTAGCCCTTGTCTCAAATGGACTTCAACAATGCATTTCTTCATGGCACTATTGAGGAGAGATATTTACATGTCTCAACAACTTGGTTTCATTAATCCCCAGTTTCTTGATCATGCGTGCAAGCTTTGCAAAGCATTATATGGCCTTAAACAAGCCCCTCAAGCTTGGTTCCTTACTGTAAAATAATTTCTGTTCAGTATTGGATTCTCCAACTCACAATCTGACACATCCTTGTTTGTGTATCGTCGAGGGCCCGTATTGGCTTACTTTCTCATATATGTTGATGACCTCGTACTCATAGGTAATGATCCCACATTTCTTAATTCATTCAAGTTATCACTTGGCCACCAATTTTCTCTTAAGGATCTTGGATCACAAAGTCACTTTCTTGGTATTGAATTGATCCCTACACCCGATGGTCTTTTCCTCACCCAACATCACTACATTCGTGATTTGCTACACAAACACAACATGCATGATGCCAAGCCAGTTACTACACCAATTTCTCCTTCAATAAATCTTTCTAACTATGATGACACCTCATCTTGTGATGTGCGTGAGTTTCGTCAACTTATTAGGTCTCTTCAGTATTTGTCCTTAACACGACCTGATGTTACCTATTGTGTCACCAAGTTGTCATAGTATATGCATGCTCCAACTACCATTCATATGCAAGCAACCAAATGACTCCTTCGCTAGCTCAAGTTTACCGTGGATCATGGCTTCCATCTTCGACATTCCTCTAACCTTCATCTATAGACCTTTTGTGACTCTGATTGGGGTGGAGATTCTGCTAACATGAAATCTATTATTGCATACATCATTTACCTAGAACCTAATTCTATTTCTTGGTCTTGTAAAAAGCATAAAATTGTGGCCAAATCCTCCATAGAGGCAGAGTATCGCACCATTGGGTCAACTACAACCAAATCCTCTCGTATGAAGCATATTGCCATTGATTATCATTTTGTTCGAGACTTGGTCAACAAGAAGGAGCTTAATGTTTCTCATGTTCCTTCTAGCCACCAACTAGTAGATCTCCTCACCAAGATTGGTGTTACTTCCTCCATCACCATCTTGCGAGGGTGTGTTGACGTGATTAGTTAATCAACTAATCAAATCTTATTCATTAGCTAATTCATTAACCAAATCTTATCTTTTATTATAACATCAAATTATATTCCAGTACTTTCTGATATGGTTGTTAAAAACAACCTTTCTCACTATTATAAGATACGTATCACAAGCATTGGTAATCAATTCATAAAACTATTGTTCTGCATATGCGTGCATATTTGTATAGCATAGTAATTGTAAGAATAGGTTCTCCATCAATGGCACCCCAATAAACCACTTGTTGGCACATCCACTTTTAGTGAATACACTGTGGTACGTTATGGTTGCCTATCAAGATCAATCCACAAGCTTCTATGCATAATTTTTTTGTCGTCAGATGTGGCATCTCAACTCAACAAGTTTGATCCAACTTTGTATCGAATTAGCCATCTGATCCCATCTTCAATTTACGATTTGCTAAAGATTTCACATTGATTTATATTTTGTTAGAGATTTTACATTGATTAATGAGTTATGTCACTTTCTTAAGAGATTTTATCGATATATGTCTTTTTTTGTGTCATATTATATCGGATATATATTGGACATGTATCTGTCCAGATACTTCTAAAATACATGTTTGAGGAGTATCCATAATTTTTATTTAAAGAATATATCAATATCAAAAAATCCAAAATAAAAATATATTTCTAGTAATATTTAAAAGTAAAAACAAAATATACACTACTATAATTTCTCTTATTACATGAAACTTTTCCTGCGAATTTTTCATAAAAATTCGCAGGAAACGTTGTTCCTGCAAATTTTTTTACGAAATTTTATCTGCAGGTAATACCTTCATGGATAATATGTTTTTGCGAATTTTAAAATTCACAAGAAATTTTCCTGCGAAATTTCTTGCGAAAAAAATTCGCAGGAAAGTTTCCTGCGAATTTTTTAACAAGAAATTTTGCAGGAATATTTTTATGAAAAAATTAAAGAAATTACTATAAATTCTATCAATAATTTTTCAACTTTCAAATGCTCACAATGAATTCATCCGAAGCATTTATTTTCATGCCTCCAACATGTGATACATAATCTTTTAAATTCTAAGATTGTAGATTATAAGCCTAACACAACCATACAAATCAACTTGTAAGGTAAGTGTTACCCCAACTTATATACTCTTTAATTACTTTATTTTCAATCGATGTGGGACTTGAAGTTTTTTAAAATATTAAATTTATAAATTTAAAATATATTTTTTATTTTTCCCGTGGATTAAAATTTGCAAGAAAATCCGCAGAAAAAGTTACCTGCAAAATTTTTCTACCATTTGGTAAACATTACTTGTGAATTTATTTTTGCAAGAAAATCTGCAAGAAACAAAACAAAATTCTTACAATATTTTCTGCAAATTTTTACCATGGAAAAAAATTTCCATGATTATTAAAATTGTAGCAAAATTTATAAGAAATATCTGTAAATTATTTTTCGCAAATAAATTCGCAAAAAATTTCTGTGAATATTTTTTTGCAGGAAAATTCGCAAAAAATTTCTGCAAATATTTTTTTATAAGAAAATTCGCAAAAAATTTCTACGAATATTTTTTTTTCAGAAAAATTCACAAGAAAATGACACTTTTCTATTAGTGATATTCTTAATCTAACTTTTTTGTAATAGATTTTTAATTTTATTTTATATTTATTAATATTTAACAAATATATCTTTAAAAATGTAGTATTGATTTTAGTTTTTTTAATACATATCTTAAATGTATCATATTTTATATTTTTAAAAATTATCGTTTTTTCCCATATTGAATACATCATATCTGATACATATTCATATTGTATCCGATATATTCGTATTGTATCATATCGATACATCATTTTCTCATATATTATTTATTATTGTAGAAAAATGTATTTCAAATATAGGGTTATTAGGAGCAGCTTTAAATGTTGCGAAACCAAAGGGCTCAACAGATCTTTGGTCTTACAGTAGTAATCTTTGGTCTTGGAGTTGTTGGCCTTGCTGTATGTTTTCCACCATCTAATTTAGTGTCTCTTTGTCAGAATTCCTAACATATGATGAATTTATTTGCATGTATGTATTATTATGTTCTATCAGGCTGCCGAGGGAGCAAGAATTTCTGGTGCATCTAGAATTATTGGAATTGACTTGAACCAAAAGAGATTTGAGGAAGGTAGCAACATCAGCTATTTGTAGCAAAATCACATATTGATATTACCATGTTTTGTGAACCCCAAAGACTATGAAAATTATGTTCAAAAAGTACATATATAATTCCATGCCATGATTTCTGCTTTTGAATGTGTTCATGATGTAAGCAAATATTTGGCTCGTAAATAATTAGTGTCATATAGTAGTAGCAAATAATTTATCAAACATGGTTGCAATAGTAGGAACACACATTTGACTCTTTCAATACCATTAGAATTAGATCTTTGTTTTCACAAATATCAAGATCAAAGTTTCCCCTCTTGCTTAGTCGTACATGAAATTTGTGATAAGTAACTTTAGGATGGATGTGATTATGTATGTGCTTATTAATCCTTTTTATTGTAGGGTTGGGGTTTTGCTGTGCTTGTTGTATTATACCCAACAAGGATGCATATTTCATGTCCAAGCCCACTAACTTAAAATACATGATCATCAGTTGATCTTCTTGTCCATGTTTTTCACAAGGCGATTCATCTGAAACCTCCAAAAGAAGAAATAAAGCAAGCCAATTCCGAGCAAAAGGAAGATCCAAACATTCTTGCCTTGATTCTCCTTAGGAGACCTAACCTCAGCAATCTTGAAACTCTCCCTCAGAGACTTCCCCAAAAGGCCCTCCAGCAGGTGGCCGTGCAGCACGTACGTCCTACTGCCCTGTCCCACCACAACCGAAGTAGGAAGCCCAACCGAATCAAGGTCAATTTTGTCAAACACCAAACCCCGGGCCCACTCATCGTTACTCTTCACGAACCACAACTTGTTATACGACACAACCAAAACGACGCCGTCGCTCCTCAAAGCGACGCCGTCCGCGCCCATCATATCCTCGCTTAAAACCACTTGGCTCGCGGTCCCATTCTTCGCATCGACCTTAAACATCTTGCCCGTGTTGGACTGCACCACCAGAAGGTACCCCTTGCTCACGTGGACGATGCCGTTCAGCCCGCACACGCTATACACTGCGTCGCGCACCACCGTATGCTCCGTGAACCTCGCGGATCTCGAGAAGATCGATGCCTCTCCGTTCCTGTCCACCTTCCAGATGTAGTTCCCCCCCGCGTTCGTCACGTACGCCTCGCCGCCGCCGTCCGCCGTCACGTCGTTCGCGATCAGCCGGCGGTCGTCGCCCGCCGCGCGGGGGAGGAGGGAGAGGTAGACGCGGCTGCCGGAGCGGAGGTCGTACGCGGCGAGGGCGTCGAACGGGGGGAGGGGCTCCAGGGAGTGGAACACAGCCACGACGCGGTGGTTGAGTGAGTCCACGGTGATGCCTCCCACGGTGACGTTCTCCGGGAGGGAATCGTCGGAGACTAGGGTTTCCACCTTGCCGCCCTCGGAGACGGCGGAGATCGTGCGTTGGCGGAGGGATCCGACCAGGAAGCGTTGCGTTGTCGGGTCCCACGCCAGGCCCTCCGGGAAGAGGCTCCGCGATCGGAAATTGATGACGTGGAGGTCGCCGGCGAGGACCGCGGAAATTAGGACGGCGATGAATGTGAAGAGGAATGTGGCGGCGGAGGCAGTGGTAAGGCAGTGTTTGGATGAGAGTGTCGTCATCTTGGTAAGCTTGCTAAATTCGCCGTGCGAAACTTCTGTTGGTCGTTGAATAAATTTTGAAAACAAACGGTATAATTATGACGAGAACCACCGGTGAGAAAAGTGCTTTCCCGTGTTTTGTTTTTTTAAAAAATAATCCACGTATATATTATATAAGGTATAAACACACCCGTGGATACGCTATTTTTAGTCTCGTAACACGTGTTATACTAACATTGTTATAAAATTTTAATAAATAGATAAAATAATTAACTGCAATAGTTTAAATAGACTATATATACTAACTGTGTCAATTAGGAAACCAATTAAATGTTATTTTTAGTTTGCTTTAAAAATCTAACAGGCGGCTATGTATATCAATTAACTGTAGTTCACTTTTTGTTTTCTTTTAACTGATTACCAAAAAAAAAAAAAAGAAATACCAATATCAAATATATAACAACATCGATAATAGATTTTAATATATTTTTAAAAACTAATTATATAAAAAAAATTAATATTATGAAATAAATTAGTTTTGATTTTTATTATTTTAAGAAGATTTATTTATTTTTATCATTTTATAATTTGTATACATTATTTTTATTCTTGTAAAATGAGTAAAAATTAGTTTTAATCCGTGTAATTATTATTATTTTTATCTTTCTAAAATTTAAAGTCTATTTTTTTTTTGTAATGATCATTTAAGATGTATAAATGAGAATTTTGTTTATGTTTAATGATTTGAGTATCATTATAAAATTATTATTATGTTTTTCTGTGGATGGCAATTAAATTCATTGGTTTTCACGGTTGATTGGTGATGTTATGTATGGTAAATAAATTGGGGGTTAGGATTGTAATTGGGGATTTGATGTGATTTGTTTGATTATGAAATTTTTTATGAATGACAATTTATTTTGGAGTAATTATATTGTGTATTGAGTAATTTTAAATAATTTTATGTTATAATGGAAACCAAAGAAAGAGAGGGTGTGAACAACGTGCGAATCAGCCAAGTTTAAAGCAACTTCACGACTATAGACTGATAAAGATAGTCATGCTTAAGTGTACACTTTCTTTAATTTTTGTTTCACACTTTCTAAATTGATTATATATCTCAAATAAAACACAAAAGACTTAAGGAATTGTTATCCTTATATTGTTAAGTAAGAGTTAGTAAGTAAAGTACACAAAAATATATGACACTAGAACATGTTAGATCTTGTAAAATATATAGGAATCATTCAATGAACATTTCTAAGAGTATAAGTATATGTAGCCAGCAATGTTTACTAAACAAACACTAGTATAAAATAGATATTTTACGTATGTTATTTTGGGCTTTATATGTTTGAAAAAAGTCTCACGTCAATGTGAGGGACGTAAATTTATATCGGGTGATTAAGCCGATGTAAACTTACGTCGGACATCCATCACGGTTGACATAAACTGGTTGACAGACAAACAAACAAAAATGTACAAATTTATGTCAAATTATACTATGTTTGACGTAAATTTAAGTCGGACGTGTCACTAACCGATGTAAATTTACTTGGACATGATATAGTTCGACGTAAATTTGTGCATTTTTTTATTAAAAAAATTGCTTTGTTTTTTCATACACCCAAAACCTACATACAGTCTTTGGACATTTCAAATTGTATAGATAACCCAGACAATCCAGAATACAAATTCAAATATAATTTATATTTCAAAATTTAATCACAAAAAGAAAATAATGTATAAATCTCGAAAAGCATAAATTAAGACAATGTAAATCCAACTATCCTAAAAAAGCTACAGAACTTAAGTTGCCCATTACTATCAAACTATGAACATAATATCCAACTATCCAACTAACTAAACTTAGAAATCTAACTATTATATACTTTGAAGAAAAAAGTTGTCCATTGCTCTTTTATCTTTGTGATATCATCTTCGGGCAATGGAGATGGATCTTGAAAGACCTAAAAGATTAATTTAATTATTGATAACATGCAGTGTTAATTCTCATAAAAGTAAATATACTTAAATAAATGTTGAAATGAATTACCTCTACCCAAGAATCAGTAATACCTGTAGAAACTACGACTTTCATCCAATACATGATGTAATAGCCACATTCAAATGAGTCTGTTTACCTATTACACTAAAATGAGAAACAACTAACAATATTATTTCTAAAGTTGATAAATTCAAATATTATTGCCTTTATTAAATTATTTCCTAATTTTAGGGTATATGAAGTGCAATGTCTTTGATCTGGCTCTTCCACTTAAAATATTAGTTCCAGACATGATTCTAATTGAAATAAAGACATATGTTAGCCTATATATATATATATATATATATATATATATATATATATATATATATACACTTTTAAAACATAATCAAAAATTGTAAAGTTACCCTTGTAATAGGCTTTTCATTTCGTGGCTCGGTCTTCGATGTAGTGAACAAAACCACACCGTGGTGTAATCCTTAGGAATGATTACAATTAACTACCAATGAGACCTACATTGTATGACGAACAAATTAGTTATAAAGTTACCATGATTAAAAAAACAAAAATTGAAAAACTAACCCTTCAATGTATGGAATCATGTATATATGTCTTTGTGAGTCACTCATCCATGTTTGCATATATTGCTGGATCTGAACCTTTGTGTTCCCTGATTTTTGGATGGATTGAGGCTCAACAAATCCATATACTTCTGGTTGTGTTTGCTTCACACTCAATTTGTCCATGTACCTAACATAATTAATTATAAGTTAAATGTAATTGTAATTTCAGACTCAAATGAAAATATCACTTACATGACCCATAGCTATATGATAGAAATGTTTAACATGGAGTTTCCCCCAACAATCACTAATGCGTCGAGCAGGGAAATGTATAGTGGAACATTAGAACTGTCAACTCCAAAAACTCTGTTGTCCCATTGTATCTGAATCGATTTCTTCTTCAACCGTGGTAATATGGTTAAAAGCTTAGATATAGGATCATCCTCAACTTCTGCGATATCCTTATCAGCATCATCAATAACAGGTTCTCTCATAACCTTCTTACCACGATTGATAAAATCCTAAACAAATGATAAAAGTTAGTTAAACAATAATAGAATTATAAGAATACAAAATAACAATAATAGAATTACCTTTGCTCGTGCTGAAAATGGCATCACCAAACGTCTTGGCCAAGCCAAAAATGTGCTACTTGCCTGTCCCACTAGTTGAATCTATGTATTGAGCAAAGGCACTAGGGCAACAACATCTTGAACATGGTCAACCATAACCCGTGTCCAGTCTGTCTATAGAGGAACACCATGGATGGTTGATCCACCCTCAAATACTCAACCAATTGCCACTATACATGGGAGGTCATCCTTAACATATAACTCACACTGGTTTGGTGCATCAGTGTGAGTATGTTCCCCTGAGGGATCTACAGCAGCACAACTCCCTTTAGTGTTCACTCGAACAACATCATTACAACTACAGTCTGTTGCTGAGAACGAGTCAAAATTTTAAACTTCTTTTCAAACTTTTGTCGCATATTATTCAATTTTTCTTGAAACTGCATCTCCATTTTTTGCAAGGCCTCCTGACTACAAGAGTCAACACTAGTCCTTGGTGGTGGTGCACCAAAGTAATCTCGAAGACTCTAAGAACCACCAATACCACGCACACGTCCTGGGTGCTCTAGTTTCCTATGGTCGTCGTGAGTATATCATCCCGACCATGGGGAACAATGAGCCCTGGGTGGCCTGCTCAACTAAATCATCTTGCAACATATTAACAATAAGTAAGTATACCTTTAACTACATCACTTACGAATGAGTTGAAATTGAGTGTTAGTATGTATATTTTTATTTACTATTTTGTCAGCAATGACCCTTGCAGACTGAGAAGTCATTTGCCCATCTGATTTTGTTTGAGCTGCTATCCACATCTATGGGGAGGTGGATCCATAAGCTCAACAGACTCAACCCCTGATGCTTCCACCCTAGCCTGCATGAGTCTCTTCATTTTCAATGCATATCCCCCTCACGACAATAGATAGGATGCATCATTTAGCTTCTATCATTCTTGGGCAGTATAGTCTTCTCACTTGCAATAATGCAAATAAGAAAATGAGATTACAATATACCATAAGTATTTATCTATTAATGCAAGAATTATCAATAAATAACCTACCAAGAAGAGTCCAATCAACTGGCACGAAACTACATCCACTCCTCATCATTAATCTGGTACTTTAGACAGGGAGTCTCATTTTGTCGCTTTCCAAATACATACTCCCATGTCAAGAAAGTCTTGAAGTACCTATATTTGATGTCAAGGGAAAATAAAATCTTCTTCCTATCATCTCAGTGTTGGGAATCTCAAAATTTTTCTATCAAAATAACAACAAAATTTAAATAAAGTAACTAAGTTATATAATATTGAAGGGATGTGCAAATACCTGAATATCCTGCCATATGAGGTTCTTGTTAACCTCCTCAACATCATCCCACGATGGAATGATAATAGAAACATGTCGTCAAGCTATGACTCCCAAATAGCTCCTAAACTTAGTAGCATTTGGGTCTAACACGTAACACGTGTTATACTATTGTTATAAAATTTTAATAAATAGATAAAATAATTACCTGCAATAGTTTAAATAGACTATATATACTAACTGTGTCAGTTAGGAAACCAATTAAATGTTACTTTTAGTTTGCTTTAAAAATCTGATAGGCGGCTATGTATATCAATTAACTGTAGTTCACTTTTTGTTTTCTTTAAACTGATTACCAAAAAAAAAATACCAATATCAAATATATAACAACATCGATAATAGATTTAAATATATTTTTAAATACTAATTATATATAATAAAATTAATATTATGAAATAAATTAGTTTTGATTTTTATTATTTTAAGAAGATTTATTTATTTTTATCATTTTATAATTTGTGTACTATCTGTACCACGAAACCGAGCTTGAGCTCGGTTTCACAGCGCAGATTGACATCGGACATGCGCTACACGACATCGGCCAAGACAAAGGCCCGTTATCTGAACAGATTATAACTGATCTCGGGTCCAAGGCCCAGATAAACCCTAAT